TACACGGGTTCTCACACAAGGCTCAAAAGTGTAGTATCCAGGTGCCTAATCAAGAATGGAAGGGGAACAAGTGGTGCAGGAATGGTGGGGGGCAAATAACTTGACCAAGGATAATCTGTAGGTCAGTGGCAGTGTTGGGACTAGAAGCCAAGTCTTTATATGCCTAAAGGGGGGCCATAGCCATTAGGTAACTGATTCTAGCTTGCATTAAATGGAGTTGCTCCTGATTTACCTTGGCATAATCAAGACTCCCACCCTTGGTTTTGATGACCATGGAGTTTGCCCAGCAACTCTGTTGTGCCCTGCATGGGTCATGCCTGCAGGTAACAAATCTCCCTGCACTGTTTGAAGCCATCAGATGACAAGACCTCAAGATCACTGCTAGACACAAGGGCCATCCTCTGCTTGCAGGATGCACAGCACCATGTTGCCAAAAGGGTCTGTGCTTGTGTGCCCCAACGAAGGGCAAACATCTGCCCACAAACTGAATATGAGGCTGAGGGAACTGGGCTTATTTCATCTAGAGAAGAGAAGACTGAGAGGGGATTTAATAGCAGCCTTCAACTACCTGAAACGGGAATTTGAAAGAGGATGGAGCTGGACTTTTTTAGTGGTGGCAGATGACAGAACAAGGAGCAATGGGCTCAAGCTGCAGCAAGGGAAGTTGAAGTTAGATATTAGGAAAAACTTTCTCACTAGGAGGGTAGTAAAACACTGGAACAGGTTACCCAGAGAGGTGGTGGACTCTCCATCCTTGGAGGTTTTTAAGACCCGACTAGGCAAAGCCTTGGCTGGGATGATCTAGTTGGAGCTGGTCCTGCTTTGAGCAGGGGGTTGGACTAGATGTGACCTCCTGAGGTCCCTTCAACCCTCATTTTCTATGACTATGAGTCTATGCCATTTGATCCCTGTTGAGCCTCCTGCCCTTTAAGGTTTCCTTCCCTTGTTTGTGACCTAGCGTGATGATATGACTACCCAAAGCCATTCTGTTAACATCCAAGGATCTAAGGTGGGCATCTTGTGTGTCTGGTAGGTCTGGAATGTAACCTGCTAACCAAAAGGGCTTGGTCCTAAACCCTTCCAGTCAAAACAGCCAGGTCCCGGTTCCTTGGTGCCTAGACAGAACATGAAATAAAAGGCCAATACCTCCTTGGGAATCCAGATTCTTGAGCCCAGCCGCTGCTAGGACATGGATTTGGGACACCATTTGTGGATAGCCACACATTCTGCTCCAGCAGGTGTGAGGAGGCTCATCCAAGGTCAGCTCTCTGCAAAGGAGATCAATGGCAATTAAATCTTCACTGTTACCAAGCCCAGAGTTCATGGGCCTTGAGCTTCTCTCTCACGTTGGCACACCATCGCTCTGTGGTCAGAGGCAGATCCCAAGATTTTTCAGGACATCTTTGGGGTTGGACGTGAGGCATCTCGGTTCCTGACACTGGGTCACCAGTGAAAGGAAGACGATGCAAACCCCCGCTATGGGTTTGGTGACCGAAAAGTTAATCCTGTTGAGTGGTGGGGAAAACCAGGCAGGGGGCTGGGGCTCCACACCACTTGCAGTGTGGGAGGGAGCCCCATTTTAGCAGCAAGCTCTACCCCATTTCCCCAGTTACTGCTTTTATCTGGTCCTCATCCCCAGAGCACACAAGCGCCTAATCTCTTTTAGTATGTGTCCTCTGAAGAACCCAGAACGAGGAGATAGGAAAATTCATGAGCTGTTTCTAAAGACAGGGACCTGGATCACTGATGGTCAAAGTGAGCCGCCCCAGGAGATACAGAGAGTCTGTGGCAGAGCAGGGATTGAACCTGGGTATCCTGGGTCCCAGGCTGTAATCAATGGATCACCCTTCCCTTCACCACTAACTTCACCTCGGTTTAGATACCAGGTCTTTAACCCATTAGATCACCCAGATACCCGTCATCAACAACCAGCAGCTCCTCAAGTGGTTTGTGAGGAGGCTTTGCTCTGGGGGTTGCTGGCTACCCCTCCCTGCCTATCTGCTACATGTGTCAGGGAGTTTTTAAGCTTTCCTCAAAGGCCAATGCCTTGGCTGGGATGGTGTAGTTGGGGCTGGTCCTGCTTTGAGCAGGGGGTTGGACTAGATGTGACCTCCTGAGGTCCCTTCCTACCCTCATTTTCCCTACTTGAATGCTAGCTGCAGCCAAGGCTGGGGATTGTGACTGGGTGTGCCAATGCTCCCGCTGGGATTTAAATCCGGCGGTTCCTGGCTAGAGCGTCTTGTCCTTTTATTCAGGGTCAGAACGACACCACATTTAGGGTCAGGAAGGAATTTTCCCCCCATGATCAGATCCGTACAGACTATGGGGGTTTGGGCATAGCCCTTTACCTGGGATCTCTTGAACATATATTAACAAGCTTTTATAGAAGCAGGACTTTGGCTGCCGGGGTTCCTCTGCATTACCTGGGGCAGGCTAGGGTGTTATGTCTGTTGGCTCAGGGTACTCTCATGTAGTATTTAGATTATGGATTGTACAGGATGGTTTGGATAGGGCTGATCCTGCCTAGCTTAGGGCCCTACTTCTCTACGTTAAAGGTGCCCAATCACCAGGTGCCAGGCACCTACACCATTTCAGCCCAGAGGCTGGCACCACCAGCTGCTGTGGAGAAGGGGGGAAGGCTCCTCACCGGCAGTCTGAAGGCACATCTGTGAAGATCCTGAGCAGGAACTCCCCTTCGTGGCCGGGGTCGAAGGTGGTTGGGATGATGACGTAGCGGCCCTCCTTCAGGTCTGTCCGCAGGAACACGCTCCGGGAGTTGATGAAGATTGAGCTGGCCACTTTCTGCTGCAGCATGTGCATCCGGTAGCTCCGGTTCAGCTCCACCTGGGCAGAGATCACAGCAGGGTGCGCAGACCCCGGGTGTATGAGAGCGCTTGTCATGATGCATTTGGTGACTGTGTTTGCAGGGGACGAAAGCCCTGATGCGTGGCTCTAAAAGCAAGAGTCTTTAGGGCTTGAGCTACAAGCTGGCTCCATGAGCTTAATGGCAGCAGCAGGCTCATGAACCTCTGTATACAGTGCAGTCACTAAAGGGAGACCAAGCATCACACAAGGATTAGTACAGGGTATATACACACACTCACACATGTGGAGGGGGCTGCAGTGTGCCTTTTCTATTGGCAGGGGCAATCTCTCTGCTTTGGGGGTGTTAGTGTGTATGTGTGTTACTCCGCTTTTCCGCTAGCTCTCCTAACCCATCCTACTTCAATGGAGCTAACAAATGGAGCTCCTAATTTCTTAGACGGCAAGGTAGATATGTACCTTTATAGACGAACTAAATAAGAGATATATACAGAGCACAGCCTTTCATGAAGCCAAGCTCACTTCATCAGATGTTACGAAAGGAAGTGCAGAAAACAGGGTACAGCTACTCCTTGCTTAACGTCGTAGTTAGGTTCCTGAAAATGCGACTTTAAGCAAAGTGATGTTAAGCAAATCCAATTTCCCCATAAGAATGAATGTAAATAGGGAGGTTAGTATCCAGGGAAATTTTTTTCGCCAGGCAAAAGACATTATATACAGCCCCCTTCCCCTGATGCACGCTCAGGGAGAGAAGCGAGAGGCAGAGGGCTGACTCCCCGCTGCCGTGCGCACTCCCAGGGGGCAGGGGGGACCTGAGCCCCCCAGATCTGTACCCAGGGCAGACACATGCTGTGGGCTCCCACCCTGCTTCACTCCTCCGGGGCCTCTGCAGCCCTGTGGGCATGACCCGGCGTGGCTGGGGACAGCGGGACCATGCAAGGATATCCACGCCACTGCGAGCTCCCCCCCCCGCTGCCCTGGCGATGCACCCCCTGCTCATGCTGCTGTTTTGAGGGGCACAGCCCTGCACCACTGCCCTCACTGCAGCCCTGCGCGCAGGAGGCGCATTGCCAGGGCAAGCATCTGGCAAGGAGATCCCCATATGGCTCTGCTTTTGCCTGCCATGCTGGGTCTTGCTCACCACGCTGTGGGGGAGCAAAGCAAGGCAGAGCTGGCAGCAGCCACAGCTCTGCCTACAGGGCCCTCAATCCCCGTCTCCCCCCACACTTCCCTGCAGCTGCTCTGCAGGCTGCCTGGGGCCATGCGCATGTACATACATGCACGTGGTGGCCCTATCTCACTGCCTGTCTCTCAAGCCGGCGGCGGCCAAACAATGTTATAATGAAACACTGCCCAACTTTAAACAAGTATGTTCCCTAATACATCAGCGACGTAATAACGAAAGTACGTTAACCGGGACGATGTTAAGTGAGGAGTACCTGTATAGGAAGGAGGGAGAAATCAGAATGCAAAAGGCAGGGGGAAGGGGAGAGGGAGAGATAGCAAGAGGGGGCAATGCTGGGAAAGAAAAGCGAATGAACAATAAGGGGGTCACAAAAGCTAGTCCAGGTAATAAGATAAGTATCCACAGTGCCTGTTTAAATCAGACTTAACAGGGGGAAGCTCTCAGAGCCATCAGCCCCCCACTTCTAATCCCTTTAACCAGAGGCAGTCATAATCCAGGCCTGGGGCCCTAATACTGCAACCTACCTTATGGATATCAAACCCGATGGCCAAGTTCTCTCCTTTGCCCTCCTTGCGGCTTGTCCGTTTTGGCTTCTGCTGGATGGAGATAAGCACTTCGTCTTCTGCCTTCTTCACGTCAAACACGTACTAGAAAAAACAACACAGCCCAGAACGGGGATGGTGAGAGGCTTTCTGATCCCAGGGGCAACACTGATGGCACAAAGCAGCGGGCTGGGAAAGGCTGAGCCCTACTGAGGGTCACCACAGCTTGTTCCCTGCTGGAGATAACCTGGGTTTGAATCCAGCAAGTGGATGTTTCTTCAGCAGACTGAGGTCTGGTCTACCCTGCAAGGGCTTGCAGAAATAGGATGTGGAAAGGTCACCCCTCCCCTACTACCACAGCTATGCCACTTTGCAGACAGAAGGAGGCTCCTGCTGTCTTACCTAACGTCCAGAAGAAATGTGTAATTATGGTACCAGATAACCCTTTTTGCTGTCCTACAATGCATCTCCATTCGGGGTGCTCTGCTGGCCTACCTCCAGGGGCACAGGTCTAAGGGGCAGCCACTCTGTAATGTAGACAGGCCCTAAATTAGTGGGACTTGCTTCTATGTGACATCCCAGTACTGTTTGGGGAAAGCCGGCAGCTGGAGAAGCAGGGGATGGTGGCGGGGAAAAGCCGTACAAAATTCATCTAGGCCCTGTAGTGCCTGAAAACCCCACCGTCTTTAATGAACTTATCCCCCCATGAGATAAGGGAGAGCTGTTTCCTGAAGAGGCAGTGATGTTCAGAGACTGAGATCATGCAGGAAAGCTACAGCCCAGCAGGGACCTGGTGCCCAGGTCTCTCAAATGTGAGGCTAAAGCTGCACCTGCTAATCCATCCTTCTGCTCCCTGCCCAAGGGCTGTGCCTGTGTTAATTTGGGATGGAGACACCATGCCAAATCCTCATTGCTAGCTCCAAACAGAGCTTGCAGCACAGTAACAACAGCTGAAGAGATGCCACTGGAGGCCACGAAACTCTGATTGAAGCCCTATCTGGCTGTTTTGTTAGACAAAACCTTCCCATTGCGTCTGGCAGCCATTTCAGCCTTCAATCTCCTGGACGGAGCAGGCTCCTATAACCCTTTGAGGTCCAAAGGTGACCTCCAGCAGGCCTCCCCAGCTCCCTGGCTCCGTACCTGGGGGTTCTGCAGGAAGGTGTCCTTGTGATTGATGCAGCCCCCGCTACGGTTCTTCAAGGGGTCGTCGTGTCTAGTCCAGGCCCCCTGCAGCACCGACTCTTCCCAGGTCTTGTGGATGCTCAGGTATGACGTATTTATGAGCCGGCACTTGATGATGTCAGTGTAGTATCTGCAGAAATCTTCAAACGTCATCCTACGACAGGAGTGAGAATGGGGCCCTGAGTCGTATGGGTTAGGTCAGCTGTGATACAGAGGCTGCCTCAAGTAGCTGAGGGTCTACAGCAAAACTATTACTGGTAGGAGCAATGAGAACTACCCTCTAGCTCAGGACTCTCCAACTTCTGAGTGGCTGCAGGCACATGCTGCACAGGCTTCCTGGGGTCCCCACCATGGGACCCCTGAACCTCCCTGCTACACATGGCCCATGGACAATGCTCTAGACAGCCCTGCTCTAGCTCTAGTGGTTGAGCCTGGCAGCTTTGGAAACAAAGGAACAGGGATCTCGTCCCGGTTTCCCATGCTTACGTACATTATCTACCCCCTGTATTATATACAGGGCACATGCATAACCAGCTCTGCTGACCCTCTCAGAAGGCTCTGAACCGAGGGCACTAAAGATGGGGGTCTCCAAAGAGCTAAAAGGAGTTAGTTAAACAGCCAAATCCCCAAAGGACAATGAGCTGAAAACCTTGTTTCCAGCTCAGATGCTATAGGGCAGTGGTTCTCAACCTCATGAGACTGGAGGCCCCCTTGAAAACATCAGCTCTTGGTTTTCATTCATTTTTTTTGACTAGGGAAAAATAAAAGAGCAATTCTTCTGTTGCAAATTGCTTGGGAGGACCACAATAGGGCAGAATGCTTTTAACACTATACATTTCTATGGGAAAACTGGGTTCAACCTTTAAATCATGCTCGCACACCCAACAGTGCTAATACTGGTGTGGCACCCTGGCTGAGAATCACTGCGCTAGAGTGAGTCAAAGACGCACACTGTCGAGATGAAGGCCTGACACGGTCCCTTGGAGCTATAAATCTGACTTGTCACTGGTGTCTGTAAAGCCTGGATGATTTTCCAGTCTCCCTTTGCTAGGTGTGGTGGATTCACTCCAGTTCAGTGGGAACTGGGTGGAAGTAACTTCTTACCCTGTCTTGTCCTTCACCATGTACAAAGCCCAATGGGGGGACTCACCAAAATTCTCCATCATCTTCCACCGTCATCCCCATCTTCTCCCTCTCGCTTTTGCTCACTTTTTTCCACTCTTCAGAGCTGTGGAGGGGAAGGGGACTGTTAATGTGAGTTTAAAAGGGTACACATGGGCTGGGGTTCCAGTGGTCAGCAGCCTGTATAGTACATGCTGGTGCATGGTAAGAGGTAGACCTAGGCCTATGAAAAGCTAAGCCTATTAGTGCATCCCAGGTGACAGAGAGCTGCCCTGGCAGGGCACAGAGGGGAATCTCAGGATGGCAGAAGGCTAGTGCAGCCTGGCTAGTGGCCATGGCACTGTCGGCAGCGAGGGGTGGCACCACCGCTGGCACTTTTTGCAAGGGTGCACTGCCAATCTCAGGGGGTGCATATGCACCAGCGTGCACCCGCTATGTGTCGCCAATGACCCAGTGCCTCTGAGGAAGGCTTAAAAAAAAACCCTGACACATGTAGCAGCAGGAGAGAGAAAAAGATCCCTCCCAGCCCCTTGTGGCAACCAGCTCAGCCCAGAAGCCTGGGAAATGCTAAGGAAATCCTATACCTAGATCAACCCCAATCAGTGACTGTCCAACCTCTTCCTGAACACCTCCGTGATGGAGAGTCCACAACCTCCCTAGGCACCTACTGCACTACCTCGCTCTTCTAACTGTTTAGTTCAGACTAGTGCTGCTGGCTAGGTCAGCTGCCAAGGATGAGGCTAACGATAAGAGGGCTCAGAGCTCACATTTCCCTCCACCCCTGTGTCTTGAACTCGGCTGGGTTTGCTGGTTGCGTCTCATGGAGGCTACCCACTCAGCCAGCTGTGGCAGAGGAGCTTGTAAATTCAAGCTGGGTACTATAGGATGACCTGGTAGAGCCCTGGCTGCAGCCTCAGCAGCATAAAGTTGTCAGGAAGCTGGTGGCAGAGAAAGACTCCCTGTGACTGCCATCTCCATACCATTAACTCCCAGAGGCCCCAGGAAGGGTGTCAGGGCTCGGGGAGTGATGGAGCTGGCTCACGGTTCTCCATCTGACCCCCCAAACAGAACTGGGGCCTTCTGGGGTGTCATAAGCCAAGTTCAGCTCGGGACCATTTGGCTGGTCCATCACTGAAGGGCTTAACCCTGACTTAACCCTCTCCTTTCCACTCCCTCGTCACTTATAAACTGGCTGAAGATCTGACCCAGGCCTTGATGGACTAGACATGGTCTGAGAGGCTCCTGGTGTAGGAATAAGCTCTTCCCAATCCCATTGCAAACCGCTACTACAGCCACGAAGAGGTCTACAGCAGTGGACCACTGGATAAACTGAACGTAATGTTGCTGGCTGAAATATTGCATAGCACCAGAAACAGTTTCCACTATCAAAAGACAACAAGTTTCCCAAAGTTTGTCAGTAAAGGCCCATCTCATCCACCTGCCAAGCCTCTTGTCTCACCACAGGCCCCACAAACATAAAGGACTTTGGCTAAGACTTGTCAGGGGTTGGGGAACCCCCACCTGTCCTAGGAAAGCTCACAGTCGCCTCCATGCAGCGTGGCTACAATCTTACTCACGTATCGCTCCACGGGCCGGTCCACTCCCGCTCCCCCCAGGGATTCCTCATACGGATCATGTCCAGCTTCTCCGATTTGAAGAAGGACAGCAAGCCATGGCCCAGACGCACCTTCCGCACATCCGTCACCGCGTAAGCATGGCCCTTCACCAGGCCACAGTCCAGGCGAGCTTCCATGTCAGCTGCTGAGGTCGCCTGACCAGGGGAAGACACGGTCAAGGGAAAAACAAAAATGATCAGGACTTTGCACACTAGAAAGGTTATTTTTCTCTCTGTCATGACCTGGATCTACCCTGGAGATCTTCAAAAGGAGACTGGACGCACACCTTGTTGAGGTTTTTGACCCCAGCAGTCTTTCCTGCCTAGAGCAGGGGGGCTGGACCCAACGATCTCATGAGGTCCCTTCCAGCCCTAAACTTCGGTGAATCTGTGACAGAAAACCAGGCCACTATAAAGTCCAAGGTGGTTATATCTGGTCTGGCATGATAGTCATCATCACTAGCTCATCACCACTGGGGAGAGATTATGTTACCTGCAGTATTTGAGTTAGGTGGCTGGGGCACTACCAGGATTGCTGCTAACTAGGCTTTGTGGCCTGATGGGGCCAAGACTGGATGAATGGTGGAGGCTAAAACACTCTCATGCTTCAGGACAGGGCTGGGGTCAACTGGCTGGATGGGGTAAGGGCATCATGAATGGCAACTTTGGGCCATGCAAGAGGACGCTCTTGATGCAGAAGGCGAATGCACACTCAGAGCTGCCAGTTCACCCCAGTTCATGGACTGAGTGCAAGCCGCTCTCATTCATTCACTGTCATATCACCAGCTTTCCCCATGGGGCTGCCAGGCTGTTTGTGTAGGGGCATCCTGGAGCCCTCCGGCACCCGCACACAGGACAAATGCTGACTCTTTGGGGATGGGCAGTCTGGGCTCCCTGTCCCTTGTCAGGGCGTGATTGTGGTCTCATGGAAGCCAATGCCAGCCGATTCCCAGCCTCTGCATAGGACAAGCCCTTGCCATGGGTCCCAAGCACACGGGTGTTGGCCGTCTCCCATCCAGCAGCGTTCAGGCCAACACAAAGCACAAGACGAGAGTTTCCAGATGATAGCGAGGGTCTGAATTCGCTCTCCAAGCTGAATGGCAACTTGCTGCACCTGAGACCCCTGTGCCAGCACTGCCCCTGGCATAAGGTGCTGCTCATGGGGGTAAGGGGCGGCCCACCAAAGCTGCCTACATGGTGTGGGCCACCAACACCATGCCCTGCACTTGCACCATGCCCTGCACATGCCACCAGATCTCCATGATCCCTAAACACCAGTGAATCTCCAGAAGGTCGCAGCTGCCTGCCAAGAGGCCTTTGTCCTCCCTCTGGGCCCTGCATCACCAGGATCTCCCAGGCCAGGGCTGCCTCCCTGGGGGCCCCTCCACAAAGGGGTTCCTGCAGTGCAAAGAGGACCATAGGGGCTGCCATAACATCACCTTGCTGCTTTCCTACATCTAGAGCAGGCTGTGCATGTGTGTCCCTGTGTGCATGTACCCACATGGGATTTTCTCTATCCTAAACTCTGGTCCTCTTTCTTCTTCACCCTCCACGGACAGATACCAGCCCCATGGGAGATGAGCCCCCTATGGCAGCCCAGGTAGGGGAGTGCCACTGAAGTAGCTGAAGGCCCCCCATGTGTGCATATGGCAGATGAGGTTGCTGCCCCGCTGCGTTCAGCAAGCGCTGACACCTCCAGAGGAGGGAAGAAGGGAGACGGTAGGATGTCCGGTAGGGAATGACGTAACAGATAAATGCTGGGCACCGGGCTGGCTTCCCCAATGAACAGTATCAGACAGTAACCAAATTGGACAGTGAAGAGCTGACTTTTGAGGGACTGCAGCATCAGGCTCATATTTGGTCTACTGAGATTGCAAGCTCTTGGGAACAGGAACCCTCTTTCCATGTCGTGCATTCGGCGCCCAGCACGAGACCCAGACCCTGAACCGAGACCTCTCGCCTGGTCTGCAGTGCAATCACCGACACCCTCCATTCCTTACTTTGATGGAGCAGCTGATGAGCCCTCCCCGATTGTGCACCTTGAGCACACGCTCGAAGAGGAGGTTGCGCTTGGCTTCATCGTTGATGTAGTCCCCTTCGGTCAGGTCGATGGGCTCCGAGATGCCACCTGTAAAATCTACCAGTGCGTCGGCTGTGTTGCCTCCATCAAGGGCCTCGTAACAGCCCGACAACCTGAGGGGAGGAAGCAGGGAAGGAGAAAAGGAGGTGGCCTGAAATCACACAAAGCTCACAGCAGGAGCAAGGAGAGGCCCAACAGTGTCGCTATAAACTGGGTTCTTCCAGGTTTATAGACTTGCTTGGCATAGCAAGCAGGCTGGAGAAGTGACTTTTTGCTGTGACTCTCTTCCTCCCTCCCTTTTACCCCAGGTCTAACTAAAAGACAGATCCCGACCAAAAACCACATGCCCATAACTAACAAAGCTGAGCCAACTCTTCACCAAAGGCTTCACCCCCATCCACCGGTTCAGCTGCTTTGAGCCTGTAGACACTTTTCAGGATGTGGATTGTCTCTTTCCATGGTTGCCTCAGCCAGGCATAGTGGGACTCTGATCCCAGTGGGACTTTTGAGTGATACCATAATACAATAACAGTCTTTAAGAACCACCAGCCACCCTGGAGCTTCACTGAAAACTCCAAGCAAAACTTTCCTGAAGTTCAGACAAGTTTGGTGACTGTCCCTTGCCCTGTAGTTTTGAATAAATGGGATCTAGAGATAAGGCTGAAGTACTGTTCCCACTCCGTGTCCAGCTCAAGGGGAAATGACAAGCGCAGGAGGTCTCACAACATATTTGAATGTTTGCAGGACCTGCAAAGCAGTTAAACTTTCTGGTCCCCATCTGAACAGCTGCCCTAGGCAAGTGTCTTCTCTTGTTGAACATTTCTAGTGAATTAATACCAATGCAAGACAGAGGTGTCTGTGGCATAGGAGTGGAGTCAGGAGGTCAGTTCTATCCACAGATGTTTTGGAAACCAAACAACTCAAACCAGTGTGAACTATGGTTGCTCAGAGCCTTTGCGAACCAAGAAAATGCTACAGAGGCTCAGGTGTGCAAATTCAAAGATATGGACCTTGATCTCTTGAAGCTCTCTTCATTTTGCAAACAGGGAAGTATAAGGTTTTTATATATATTTTTGCCATGGTTACATTAGTTAGGCCCTTGGAGATTTGTGATGTGGTTATTATTTTTACTATTGGCAAGTACAACCCAGCAGCTCCTCCAACATCTTCCATTCCAGTGAGTTCTCCTCCTCTTGCACGCTGGTGACGACCGGAGTGGAAGTTGTAGGTGCTTCCCCCAAACAGCAGGTGGTTTTGTGTGGGTAGGTCTTCCTACATCCCAGGCTCTGCTATAAGCATAGTGCCAAGTGCCATAAAACCACAAGAAGAAATGCAAAAATCTAAAACGCTTGGTTCAAAGATGATACCTTTTATTAGACCAACTGGGAAACTGCAAAAAAAAAATCTAGATTTCTGCATTTCTTGTCTCAGACCAACACGGCTACCAACTACATCCCATAAACCCACAAAGCACTATGGGCTGTCATGCAAAGAACACGGGAAGACACTGGACCTTCCCAGCACCAGAGCAGTACTCTAACTACTATTACCACTGCCTCCAATAGGGGTAAACACAGGGAGCACCCACCACTGCTACCAGTCAGTCCCCGGGGTTACAGCCACCCGTGTACCTACTTGGCATAGGCCTTTTCCACCAGTGCACACCAGAACTCGTTCTTGGAGTTGGAGTGGCAATAGATGAGCTGGTTGTGAAGCGTCGGTAGACGGTCGTCGATCACCACATCCAGCCACTCGCCGAAGCGCCAGAACTGGAAGTGGAAAATCCCGGCGTAGCTCTCGGGCTTCTCGGGATTCCACTCCTGCTCCTTCCAGTCCGGGATGACCTGAGGGGTCAAGGGATGGGACAATCTGGTTACCTGCCTGTTATGGAAAAGCAATTCTTTGCTCCACCGTGTTAAGTGTGAAATGGATCTCATTGCAAATGGGGGAGCAGGAGAGTGGGGGTCTCTGAATAGTCCACCTAGCCCAGGATCCCTTCTCAGCTCCTCGCCAAGGCTGAATGTGAACACACGAGGGTGGAGCTGCCTGCAAACAGGCTCAACAGGGGCTGCGGCGGGTTCTTATAGCAAGGGTTTGTTACAACAAAGTTTTGGCCCTGACTTCGGTGCGATGCCACCAGAGTCAGTGCAGATTTACACTGGTGGAAGAGAGGAGAATTAGGCCCCCCGGCACCTGAATCCTATTTATTTACAGCATTATCTGGAAGGGCCCTGGAGCCACCCACTTAGCAGTATAATGTGCAATGCTGATGAGCCCTAAATAATGATGTCAGTCTGATTAGGCCACAAGGACGAGAGGCATGGGGGGTCTTGGTGATAAGCACAGCCTCCACAGAGCAGCTCCACAGCTACTGCAGAGCTTGGGAAGGTGCCGGAGCTGATAGGAAAATGGCTCGAAGAATCATTAGCTTGATTAGTGGAACATCAAGAGCATTATACAGGAGAGACAATCGTTACCACCCGTGGAGTGATGAACAAGGAACCATTACATCGAATGACTTCCTCAGCTGCCTGATTACAGGGGTATAGGTTGTCGCCATTCAGGAAGAGCGCACACCAACTGCAGATGCGTCCTCAGCCTGATGAAGGGTGTTTATACCCAAAAGCTTGCAAAGAAGAATTTTTCCAACTATTTGAGTTGGTCTAATAAAAGATACCAGGTTTACCCAAATAACCTTGTCGGCTGCCTGAGGAAGTAATGCCCCTGATGCCGCGCTGCGGAGCAGGAATCAAAGCAGGCTGCTTCTATTCTGGACAGAAAATCAGCTTCCCTGCTTAAAGGGTGCACCGCACTTTTGGGAGACTGATTTTTTGGGGAAAGGTGTGTGTGGTATGCTAGTAAATACGGCGCCCTCTCTTCAGAACTCCTCATGTTTTCCACGGTGGCAGCAGAGGCCATCCAAACGTTGGTGTTAAGTGTTCATGGGAGTGGAGAGACACCTTGAGATATTAATGAGGCCATCAGTATGACAGTGCATCAGCTTAACTTGATCTCAGAATGAGACCTGATCGATACAGACTGCACGACGGGAACACTGAGAACCGGGTGCTCTCAGGAGCGCGGTACTTTCCAGGAGTGGCTTCTGCTAATAAAGATGCCTCTTTCTCCTTCTGGGAAGCTGCCAGCAAAGGATCAGATAGCACTGAGCAAAATCCCCCCATGAGTCTCTCCTGACTGCAGGCTGTGCTAATAAATTACCGTGGCATTAATCAACACACTATTAATGCAGGCCCTGGGAACTGGTCAAAAGCTTAGCACGGATGGCTTTTCATGGCAGAGAGCAGCCGACCACGGCAAGCGGATGTGTTAGCTCTGACACCTGCCTAATGTAAGTGCTGTAAGGAAACATCAAGGTTGGACACCTCCGTTTCCACCTCTTCGGCCTAAAATACTAGTGAAAATATTCAGCACCATGAAGTCAACAGCAGCTTCATGGCATTGGGAGCAAGGCTGGGGACTCAGAGACCAGGAGGAACTTGGCCAGCTTTCCCAAGCAGCCTTCTCAATGTGCCTTGTCCCCAAGCAGCCTTCCCAATGTGCCTTGTCCCTGCCTTGTCCTGCTCCGGGGATCATAGCTCGGGGGATCATTTACACCTGTGCAAAGCAGAAGGGGAAATCCTGCTAGCTAGACCCCTCCACTCACCACTTGCCTGCTTTGTTCCTGACGCCACATGGGCAGGGGGATGGCAGGGCAGGGGAGCTGAGGGTGACGGGTGTGCGGGGGGAGAACTGCGTTGTGATCAGGGTATCACCAGCAAAGCGCTGGGATGGAAAGTCAGTAGGACGCAGGCAGCTTGGGGGGATCTGGGGAGCCCAGGCCTGCAGTGCTGCGGTGTCTGCACTTGAAGGGATCCCTGCTGCATTGCTGCCGTTGCTCTCCGACGCGCCGAGGCGTCGTGTCGGCAATGCTCAGCGTGCCAGCACCTCCGTGTATGTCCCGGCTCTCCAGTGCTGCCCTCGAATAGACACTCCCCTCCTCTCGGCTCCAACCTGCCATACTCCCCAACCCAGCCAGCCATACTCCCCTTACTCCATCTCAGCCTCACCCACTTGTGACCCTGTTTCCCCACTTTCTACACCTCATATGCCTAGTATATCATCCTACTGCACAGCCCCCATTTCAGATCCCCCTCCCCAGCTTACTCCAACTTTGGACAGCTTCCATGAGACATTACGGGAGTCAATGTGGTGTGTACCTGGAGGCTGGGGGACAGGTGGACCTAGAGGGAGCAGAGACCAGAGGCAGACAGGGAGGCCTTTGCCCCTGCAGAGCTTTGGCACTGAAGCAGCGGCTGGGATCCTTGCGGCCCTTCTGTCATTACAGCGCGACACAGAGGGATTTGAGGACAAATCCCAGAGCAGCCTTAGCTGTGGAGTTGCTACAAACACCTCCAGCATCCAGGGTTAAGACTTGCTTAGTAACCAGGGCAGCCAGCAGTGCCCTGACACACACACACAGTGTGCAGGGAGGGCTGTGGGCACACACACAGCTGGGGTCCAGCTGGTAAACGTGGAGGCATACCTCAAGTCATTTGCTACAGGAAGGTGGGCTGGAAGAGACGCAAGACGGCTAGAGAAACGTAGTGGGAATGGTATGGGCAAGGCCTGCTGGGCCCTGCTTGGTTATCTGCAAGCAAGCTGAGGAAGTACGGGCTGGGTGAATGGACTGTAAGGTGGATAGAAAGCTAGCTGGATCATCAGGCTCAGAGGGTAGTAATCAATGGCTCGATGTCTAGTTGGCAGCTGGCATCAAGTGGCGTGCCCCAGGGCTCTGGTTCAATATCTTCATTAACAATTTGGAAGATGGGATGGAGTGCACCCCCAGCAAGTTCATGGATAACATCAAGCTGGGGGGAGTAGTAGATACACTGGAGGGTAGGGCTAGGATTCAGAGTGACCTAGATAAATTGGAGGATTGGGCCAAAAGAAATCTCATGAGGTTCAACAAGGACAAGTGCAAAGTCCTGCACTTTGGAGGGAGCAATCCCATGCACCAGGACAGGCTGGGGGTGACTGGCTGGGCAGCAGCTCTGCAGAAAAGGACCTGGGGGGACAATGGACAATAAGATGGGTATGAGCCAGCAGTGTGCTCTTGTTGCCAAGAAGGCTAATGGCATCCTGGGCTGCATTGGTAGGAGCACTGCAGGCAGATCAAGGGAAGTGATTCTTCTGCTCTTTTCAGTACTGGTGAGGCCACATCTGGAGTCCTGTGTCCAGTTTTGGGCCCTCCACTACAGAGAGGATATGGACAAGTTGGAGAGAGTCAAGTGGAGGGCAATGAAGATGGTTCAGGGGCTGGGGCACAGGACTTATGAGGAAAGTCTGGGGGAGCTAGGCTTATTTGGCCTAGAGAAGAGAAGACTGAGTGGGAATTTGACAGCAGCCTGTAACTACCTGCAGGGCGGGTCAATAGAGGATGGAGCTGGGCTGTTCTCAGTGGTGGCAGATAACTGAACAAGGAGCAATGGGCTCAAGCCACAGCAAGGGAGGTTTAGGTTGGATATTAGGAAAAACTAGGAGAGTGGTAAAGCACTGCAATGGGCTACCTAGAGAGGTGGTGGAATATCCAGCCTTGGAGGTTTTTAAGGTCTGGCTAGACAAAGCCTTGCCGGGGATGATCTAGTTGGGGATGGTCCTGCTTCAAGCAGTGGGCTGGACTAGATGCAACCTCCTGAGGTCCCTCCCAACCCTAATTTTCTATGATTTTATAATTTGACCTACCCCTCAACCCACACCCTGGAGCTCAGGGTCACCTGGGCCAACATATGCATCACCTGGGCCAACTTATGCATCACTGACCTGCCATTCACCCTGGGACAGCCCCTCTATTCTCACCGTGACTTTGGCACAGTCAGAGAAGAGGCTGCTTTGGAGAGTTCACCCAGGAACCATGGGAATTAGCGAGTGCTGTGTGAACAAATCAGGTAAGTCACCTCCCCAGTCCCGGCTCTTTGGCTTATGGGGCTCCCAAATCCTGGAGACGTGACCCTCCGTTTAGGATCAAGATTCCCAGCAGAAGGCGTGGGGTAAGTATAGCAGGGATGTCATCAATGCGAGTCCCCAGACCTGATCTTCAATGTGATCTTTTCCCACCCTCCCCGTTTAAAAAATTACCAATTAGGAGACAAGACATCTGTGACCCTGGAGAAATGATTCTGTGTGGAAGGAGGAATAACAGGATGTAATTTCCTACCAGCAGGTGAGGAGCAGGGCTCTCCCACGGGGAGCCCACAGCTCTGACGGGGAGGCCTATCATGCGAGATCTGGGGAGAGTACGGGTGAAACCCTCCTCTGCAGAGGATTTGGACAAGGTCAAGGCCTTGCACGTGGCCAGACCCTCAGCTTGCATAAACTGACACACCTAGGCACTCACAAACACATACACTCACACACCAAAAAGGCCTAAACATCCAAATAAGCATCCTACACAGGGGCCAGCACCCTTTTTCAGGCTGCGGGCTGGTATAACTCAGCTCCAATCCAACATGGACCGCATATCTCCGATGGTGCATCAGTGGCAGGGGGGGGCTTTCCTCACCTCCCACCCCAGGGCCAGGCAGCTGGGAGCTGGAAGCCGTGCCCAGGCTGCAGCCAGGGAGTAGGGGACTGGGGGGAGTGATGGCAGTGCAGATGCAGCTCCCAGCTGCCTGGCTCTGGTGTGGACTCATGGAAAGACCCTGGCACTAATGCACTGCTGAAACCACTCGACCTATGTTGGGCTGGGAGAAGCACCGGTGGTGCGGGTGCAGCTGGAAGCTGGCCAGCCCCAGTGTAGCTCCTTGCTGCCTGGCACGAACATGAGCACAGGAGCGGGCATAGGCAAAGCTCCCCAGCTCTGCTAGCAGGACCCAGTGGCTCCGCGGGCCAGACGTGGCCCATGGGCTGTGTGTTGCCAACCCCTGCTCTACACGATATGTTTACAAACTTTGTGATTTATTAGAGGGAGCCGGGAGGGGGGGGAAAAAATCACCTAGAAAAATACTTGTGGGTTGAAACACATGGTGGCTTCTCCTTTATTGTGTATATGCTATGGGCGTTTTAAACAGAGACATTGGGTCAATGGTAGACACACACAGTCTCCACTGCAGAGGATCCATAAGGACAAGGCTTTTATATTGCACTGCACACACATGCACACCCAGCAGCGTGGAAGTCAATGAAGGAACAGCAGAGTACCCGTACAGAGCTGTGACCAGAGCATCAGTGACCAAGGCTTTGTAGTGGCTAGGGTGAGGAGGACAGGGTGAGGGTGACACTAGACACGTAGTGGGTTTCTATTAGAAACTCACATAAAACATAGCCCAGGGCTCCAGGACTAATCATGGGAGGCTCCTCTTCCTGTCGATTGGGTGCACCCTTGCACAAGAGCCTGGCTGTGGACAGAGACAGGTGAGATGCAGAGCGGGAGACGAATGCAGGCTGCCACCAAATTCTGCAGCAGCACAGGGGTGACCGTGGACATGCTCCTGGTGGGACCAGTCTGCCTCCCAGCACTGTGGGGAATGCAGCTCTTTGCAGCCCAGGACAGATGCGGTATCCCCAGCTTGCCTACCTCTCCAGCATGTTTCTGCCCCAAACCGCTGCCAAGAAATCCAGTGCTTCCTGCTCCACTTGCTTCCACCATCGTCTGGCACAAAGTCCCAACCTCACTTTTGACAAAGGGGCGAACTCTTCCCCCTCCTTTACAGTGCAACTTTCCTATATCAGAGGAACCGTGAGTGATGAGGATGAAGCGGAGGTGGGTTTGTCACCACCGAGACCCTTCCGAGGTCTTGGTTTGCATGCAGAGTATATAGCTTTAGAACAGCTCCTAATGCTGTGTCCTCCAAACACTTGCTCTCAGGTGCACCTTGATTGAGGACCAGGGGACCAGCAATAACGATCCTTAGCACTTCCCTAGACTTCCTGCACTTTTTGACAAAGGAGGGTAACATAGCACCACCTCCAATTTACAGATGAGGCAAACTGAGGCACAGAGCAGCCCACTGACAGCAGTATAGCCAGGAAAACCATGATCAACTGACTTCCAGCCCTGCAGCCTTCCCTCTAGACCATGCAGCTTCTGTGCACACCCAGGACAAAGCTCTGTGCCTAGTTTAAGTGTTAGCAGGGGACTCTTTGGGACAGAAGAAGTGCCTTAGCCTATGGCTTGAAACATCCTGTCCAAAGTCACAGAACTGTACACCAGGTTATTGATTAATATAGCTCTCTGTGCTTTCATATACCTGTACTGTACATGCATGTATTCTACAAAGGGGGAGCACTGAAAAAGACTCACACCTGGGCTTGGCCTATAAAGGGTTATATATGTTCAGAAAACCCCTTGCTTCTGCTCTTAGAGTTTCTCCAGCTCTGGATGCTGCGGTGGATTGATTTTCCAAGTGATTTCAGCTAGGAAAATCCCCAGGCAGTAACAGTGCTCTGCTTGTGTCCCAGTAATGCAAAGGCAGAGAGAGGTGCTGGCTGCTTGCAGGGAAGAGATGAGCCACTGAGATTAACAGCAGGCTAAATCCTCAAGTTCTCGCCCAGGGTTGGACCAGTGGGTCTGCAGGAGGCACAGCTGTCCTGGGGCTCAGGGTGCATTCATTTCATGGGTGATAGGAGACTCCTTTTGAGCCTGATGTTCAGAGAGGCAGAGCCCTGCAGCTCCAGCGGAAGGCAAAGCAAACCCTGCAGATGTTTCACGGGACTCAGGGAGGCATCTCGGAGAATAGTGTCCCCCCCCCCCC